GAAATGAGATACTCGGATAGCGTCTCGTAATACGGGAAGGACCATAAGCTCCCACTCGGAACAAGAGTGTCTAAATTGACCACAAATGTTTGTCAAAAAGCAGTAGAAGGCTGTCTTCAAAACGGGACGTTTATTGTCCCGATACGAAGTCAGGTACCGAGACAAAACCGATCGTATTTACAGCAACACTGCCAAGTGAACAAGTAGACGGTGAGGAACTGTGGACAAATGTGAATGCAGAATAGCTTGGACGATTCATCCACCCAGCGCTTGTCACTTTCAGCGTGCACTGATGTGCACATTTGCAGCCAAACAATCATGGCTGGAGGTTTTTGTGATGGAAATTGACCTCTCAGCAGACATTACTCTCATACTGGAACGAGGTCGCCACCTCTTTGTACAATACTGGGAATTTAACCTGTGGCACGACCCATCACTAGGCGCGCTCAAACACTGGATATCAGACCGAACAGTGGCACTGCTTCAATCTTGGAGAAATATCCCAGCCGGTTCCAAACATAATTTGACGTGACGCATTATCAGACTTCAAGTGAAAGTGAGCGTCCGAACCGACCATTAAGTCTGGTGAACACGGAAAGCCAAGGAAACGGAAGAGGCACAGAAAGCCGGTAATGCTCGAAGATTATCCCGGTTGATCCCCGCGACAAGACCCCGGAAACCATTGTTGAGCGAAACCATCAAGTATCGAGATGGAGTGAACATCTTGAATAAAGAGGAACGTCTGAACCGGTGGGCCGAATACTTCGAATAAGAGCTGTCATGGTCACCAACTGCCACCCATCTGGAGACCACGGATGACGTAGAACCCTGGACGGTCGATGTGGAACCACCCACGGCCTCGGAGGTTTACGACTGCATGTGTTCTCCCAAGAGCCACCAAGTTTCTGTTCCGGGTGACTTCCCACCCGCATTGTTCAGAGATGGGGGGTGGGGCGAAATCCCCAGTCAGCGCTTGTCTGATCTGTTTAACTGCATTTGCGAAAAGTAGAACGTATCAGATGGGAGTCCGTGATAGTGCCCATTTTAAAAAAAGGGGCTCGCGGCGAATGTGGTAACCACCGGGGGATCAGCTTAACCCCGGCTGAGAGTGGTGGCATCACTTGTGCTTGTCCGATCTGTTTGCTTGCATTTGGTAAAATGAGTCTGTCCCAGACAACTGGGGAGAATCGGTGATAGTGCCCATTTTCAAAAAAAGGGGCGCGTAGTGAGCGTGGTAACCACAGGGGGATCAGCTTGACCCCGGTTGTAATGAGATTGTTGGCGTCAATTGTGCTTCGTCGCCTTACGGTGGCTCGTGAGACACTGACTCGAGAGCAGTAAGCGGGATTCCGGCCTGGTAGGGGCTGCGTTGACCAAATCTTCACACTTCGTCAGGTGCTAGAACAACGCCATACGTACAAATGTTCCACAATTTTAATATTCCTGGATTTACAACCGGTCTGTTCTTCTTGACACCCTTGCCCATGAAAGAATGCCCTGGAATTTTGTGAACATGATACGTTCTTTGTATTCTCAGATTTGCGGACGTGTGGGAGTACACGGAGAGCTATCCAAAAGCCTTCGTACTCAAAGCGGTGTCTGTCAGGGGTGTCTTTTCTCTCTCACCCCATTCCTATTCAATGTCGTGATGGTTGATTTAATGAAACGAACGCTGGAATGTCTTCAAAACCCTGCTGTCCAACAGCAGCGGACGATCCGGAATATGCAGATAACATGGTTAGGCAGTGTATTGCGCATGCCGAACCATCGTTTGCCAAAGAGAATGCTGTTTTCCATGCCCAATTCAGAGTGGTGGATGCAAGAAGGTGGACAATCTTTGGTCTAGCAGAGGGGCTATCGGTGCGACTCGCCTTTCAAAATGGGAGCCGCGGGATCTTCAGTGTGCGTGGTTGGGAACGTTAATCGATGTCAGTGGCGTTCTTGTTGTCAGTCTCTATCCAATTTACCTGAATGAATGTCAGGATGGGTAGGCGCGTCGGAATGATTGTATTAAGTCCCATACCCGTCCATCTTTATTCTTTTTTTCACAATAAGGCTTTCAAATAAATCATGGTTGTACGGCAGCGAAGCATCGGTGTTGAACACTGATGTCATACTGTCCACAAGGATGAGGAAGAGGATGAGAGACCACTTTTGAGTGATCCCTTCAAATGGTCTGTCCAGAGATAGCTTCACCGCTTTGATGTCGCATTGCATGTTTCTAAAATTTGTTCTTTTCATCACCTGTCCTGGTAGCCTAGCAATCAAGGATGAATCTATGTGGCGAGATAGCTCAGTAACTGTCAGTAACGGTCAGTAACTGACCGGAAGGTGCTTGGTTCGAACCCGACCTCTGCCACTCGACTTCCCCTGTCTAGGCTTGGGCGACCTGGCAGTATCCCAGCCCTCGTGCTTCCTTCGGGTAGCATGGCAGCTAGGCACCGAAAGGGTGTTACAGCTGAACGATACGATACGAATCTATATGTTGAAACCGTTCAGTCCATCTCCTTGCACTCAAGCACGCACGCACGCACGAAAGAGCTGACCGGATAATTCCTTCCCCGCCATCCTTGAAAATCTTCCATGAGATTCCAGAGACCGAGGTTTCCAACTTTTTTTCCCGTCAAGAGATTTGCCGGATCTTGTCCCATTTTAACTGACTACGAATCGCCCATCAACCGCCCACACCAAAGAGAACCCAGACAACATGGCACTAAACTCGTTTTGGACACGTTCAAAAACTCACAGCCCCCTTGTGATTTATGCACATGTGTCTTGTATGCGGATTATTAGTACACGGCGCGTGCATGAATTGTTCGCGTCCAGGCAGGATCATGCTGTCAGTGTTGTGGTGATACATCTGTGTTCCACTTATCGATCGCAATTACCTTTTCGTTCCCACGCTTTCAAGGACGCTATAATTAGTGTCCTTAAGTCGACACAGTTGGCAAAGTTGGAAATGTACTTTTTCTCTTTACCTGAGGGGTAAGGTATCATCTTTGCCATGTTATATCGATTAGTCATACTTGTGTGAAGACGTCCTGGCGCGTTCTACATTAACATGTTGGCCTGACGGAAATCCTAATCGACAACTCACTATGAAGTTGAGATTTTCAAAAGAGTAGAGAACAGGTTAGTTATCGTTTCATCTAAGTAACACATTTGATGGAACAAAAAGAAGTCGATGCGTTGAATATCAAGGCACGTGAATCCTGACGGAGCGTTTCTGCTGCGCGTTTAGCCGAAAAGCAACATAGATTAAATATGCGTCTGTGGTCTGTGGTTGCAGCTGAGTGTTCAACTCTGCAGGCGTGGCTCTTTATCGATTATTTGTTCCACTTTCGATACTGAAACGTTCCAAGTAGTCACGTGGCACTGTGCAGCAGAAACCTTGCCACTCTTGGACGCCATAGTTTATTTCCCATTCGTTATACTGCTGATATTCTAACCCGCATCACGTGATACCAATGTACCATAAAATGCCACACTTTGGGTTGCAGGTTACTCGTTAATAAATGCTCTCTGAGATCTCGGTGTTTTAATGCGCACTACGATCGATCCACTTCTAGGGAGACCACTTGTCGAAGCGACCTTTATTAGTCGGATTCCTGAAATTCACTTCAATAACAAGCTTTCCTCACAGCTGGAATTACCCTGAGGTAATTTCGAGTTTCCTTGCAGTCCGTAGAATCTGTTTCGCCATAGGGGAACAACTGCAGACTTGTTCAGTAAGTAGGTAGTTGGTTTTAAACTTTGAGGAACATAGATATGGCTTCCATGATCATTTTGAACTCTTCTAAAGACGTTTGGTATCCATTTGAATCTGATACTGAGTGATCCTCAATGTCGGTCGACTTACAAAAATACAGTGAATTGGACCTCTACCAGGTTTACTTCCCGTTCTGTACTCTCTCTGTTTCGTTATTGGAGAAGGGCTTTAATATGTGCAAGTACGTTTCTTCGGTGCAATCAGCTTGTCTTGCACAATGGCAGACTTGGTCGAACACATCTACGTGGTACTTTGCCTCGTTTGTTGTGCAACAATTCTTAACTACTTAAATTCTTAGATAAGTAGCCACACAAACGAGCTGTTTTTTAAGGGAGGCCCATTGAGAGCCATGTCAGACCTCAAACACCTAGAAAGTTGGGTGGCGCATTAGAGGTCAGCCGTATCAAACAACTCAAGCATCAGCAACACTCCCAACGCATAGAAACAGATCGCCACTGATATTCGTTCGGATGTAGCCACTGTATTCAAGACTGCTTGTTGTTGACCTCTGACATGTCGTCCAGCTGCAACACCCTTCCGCTGCCATGCTACCCGAAGTAAGCACGGGGGCTGGGATACTGCCAGGTTGCCCAAACCTAGACAGGGGAAGTCGAGAGACGGAGGTCAGATTCGAACCACGGACCTTCCACTCAGTAGATTCGCGCTCTAAACACTTGAGCCACATCGCTCCCTAAGCCGCCACATTGAACTTCACACCTCTGAGTTCCGCTATGACAGAAAGGCTCCGTCAAACATCGTTCTGTTCCTGTCTCATTTGGTAGATACTTCAAAGACAATGTAACCGCAGGTCCTGTTAGTTGCTCGGATAAGGCATTCCCAGACAGTGATCCGAATATCCTCCCGCTACCTCCTGTTAAGTGTTAAGCCCCACAATTCCTAAATCTACTTTTTCTTGTTTTTCGGTAAAGCTGATCTGTGGTCCAGTTCCCGGACATCACGTGATCCTATTACTAGGGCGAGTTAGTTCAGTGGTAAGAGCGCGACTTTACTGACTGGAAGGTCCGTGGTTCGAACCCGACCTCTGCCTCTCGACTTCCTCTGTCTAGGCTTGGGCAACCTGGAAGTATCCCAACCTCAGGGTGGCGTGGCAGATAGGTACTGAAAGGATGCTACAGCTGAACGATTATTATTCCTGGTAGCTTTACAGTTGACTGGAATACTGTACCGCATACGAATCATTCTGTTTTTACTCACCCACCCTTCCCGCCAGCTTGAACAATTACGCACAAAGTGATCAAATCCTGTACTGCAAGAAGCACTATCAAGAAAACGTTTTGGCCAAGAATACCCAAACCCCAATATAGTGACTTGTCATACTTTAGATTATAAATGTGACTGCTCAGACGCCTTTAACCCCGTTACACCAGAATGTTTTTGCCTACAAACCCAACTCTCTATTGTATTTTTCTCATTTTGTTCCTTCTTACCATAGAGTGAGCGTTGTTCCGTCAAGACTCTTTCTGCATGCCGTCCCCTTTCACACAGTGTGCTTTTCAACCCCAACTGCTAGCATAAACGTAATGTTCATCCATGATCAGTGTTCAATTTGCTTGGGCTTCGGGACTCCGGCTTTGTGGTCGTATATGGCAGTGTCAACAGTGATGGTGCCGTCTCCGACGACGGTGATTTTAAAGCCCTAAAGTGAAACGAGTGAATGAGAGAGGGGACCTGGTGTCGGCCTATCACCAGCATTCGTAGGTGCCTACACGTCCAAGTGCTCAATCAGACAATCTGGAATGCCACTGAGACCGACTGGCCGTCAGTCTTCGCGGTACTTCCAGCCGAGGGCAGCAGGGGTCACGGGGACCCCATCCTGGAAGGTGCATCGTACCAACCCAACCTCAAACCCGTTGAAATCCTTTTCACACCTTCGTGCCAAGTCGCACGTCATCGGGGTCACGGGGGGAGGCACCGTAGACCACGGTTCGACATGACCAAGCCACTGCAACTGATGAGCTTGGGTGATTTCCGTGAACGAAGTACCTGCTACCCAACCAAATACCTGTTTCCCAATTATACCGTTGAAAATCGATTGACTCCTGCTCATAGGTTGACCGCTGAGCTTGCTATCGTTTAATACTTACTACGCCGAAGTAGCTTCGATTGTTCCCTTTTTAAGCTCGATCAATTAAACAGTACCTTCACTCCTGTTTCTAACACTTTATATACAGGGTGTCTCATAATAAACGCAAAATTTGATTGGGTGAGTAAACGTAGCCAATCGGAGGAAAAATAAGGAAATCTTTTGGTATAGTAGCCACATAAAGGAGAGTTTGCGTGCGAATGTTGGCATTTTTTCTGTTTACGATGGATGTACTCGCATTGAAATTGTGAGACAGTTATTCACTTGGTGAGAGCGCCACCACCGCACTTCCTGATTACAAAACCAAACATAGTCTCATCAAAGATCGTTTCACCGTATCAACCATTACACGCTTGATTGCGAAATTTGAGTCCACTGGATCTGTATTGGATTTTCCTGGCAAAAGGAGAAAGTCTCTGAGTGATGAAAGAGCGATCATTGTACGGAATGCCGTCGAGCAACTTCAGTCCCAGATCACCATGGGATCTTTGTCAATAACTCAGGTGTCTCAGGTGACCGGCATTCCCCGCACCAGCGTGCATCGTATTATGAGACGCCACCTTGGTGGAGTTAAGAGCAAGAATTGAAGAGGGGTGTGCACGAGTGACGCTTGAAGAAGTCAAACATGATGTGTCTCACACCTCGTACCGCCTCCAACTTATTGTAGAAAAAAGGGGCGGTTTCTTTCAACATCTTTTGTAATGCCAGTTTGTTTGCAGTAAGCCTCCATGGTGCGCGTATGTCCACATAAAAAATGATAAATGTTTGAATTGGCGTTTAAGTTTTAACATGGTATTATTTTTTGCGTCTATTATGAGACACCGTGTAGTACTCGCGCTTTTCCGACGACAACGATTTCGGATGACACGTAGTGCCAGAACCTCCAAGTTGACAAAACAAAGTTGGAGCTGGGTTTCTGTAAGGTTGAGGTTCCCAATACGGACCTTTGACTGATGTGTAGGTTCGATAATCCCGAATAGCAAAAGGAAGAATTGGGTTCGAAATTCCACGGTACTATTCATACAAGGGCAAGCTAATGTATAAAACAAACCTCGGTTGTCCACTTTCGTGGCGTCAACAAGTGCACAAGTATCTCACTGACCGGCACAGTGTCAACGTCCCCAAACCAAACAACGGCGAGCGGAATGGTGGCTCAGTAGTGTGGGTTGCGGTCTTCCCTTCCAACGACAGTCTGGTGGTTTTCATTGGTGGTGCAATCACCAGGAGCTCATGAGAAAGCAGGTTAAGACAGGCTCAGCAAATGGGACGCGAGCACGCATGGGTAAGTGGGTCAGCTGCGCACTTTCACACAGAGTAAAATGGGTGGAGATTAAAAGTACACAGGTGGAATAAGCATGAGGTTAAATTATAATCAATAACCAGAAGTGTATGACAGTAAGTACTCGTCTACACCAAGTGATCCGCTTGGATTTTGGGCGTACAAACAATGGGAACGAAACGGGTTCATGCAGCGTGGCGTCCACTAGGGAGCGATGAATGACTTGGTGGCGCCAATTACCTGACCTTGAAGTGATTAGAATAAACAAAAACTGGTTCACCCGAAATCAATAAACACGAACGAGGACGAAAAAAGAATTAACAATGTGCCCAAGAAAGGGACAAACGTGCTGAAAATAAGAGAAAGCTGATTGAGTGAGCAGGATCAAGAACTAAGGGAAACGAATACTCGCTATCGTGACCAAAATTGAGACCCAATTGATTGTGGGGGAGAACATTCAAGAGAAAAATGAAATTGTGCTCAAATCGGAATCCGGAGAACTTCAGCTTGTTACAGCTGAATGTGGTGTTTGTCACCACGAATATATCAAGCACTGACAAAGAGGTGGACGCTGGAGACCACCGAAGGCTTTCTGGTTTAATCAAGAAAGACTTTTAGATTACGGGAGCCCTCGCTGTCTAAAACTTCGTCGGGAGACTCGAGCAACGTCAGCCCTACTAGAAAGGTATCCAAGGCTCTAGTGGTTCGGATTTCCACCCAAAAATGCCAAACTGTTCTTGCAACAGGAAGATGGTTCTTCGAAAGCTATGGGATCGATGGGGTTTCCTTGTATGCGTGTGTTTGTGTGAACGAAAGCGTCAGGACTAGGTTTTTTTGGAGTACGAACGTTCCTCTCTCAACACGGAGAAACAGTCTATTTGGCCTCTCCTTTCGAAAAGGAGATGTTGCATGGCCTGTCCGGATCAATGAGGAATGCTCGTGGAGCCCACTAGTGCACGTGGACTCCTTCAGGAGGGTTACTCTGTTCATCAATGTGAGGAAATTCCGTGATCTAGCAACGGATAAGTGGCTACAATATCTGGGGTTTTAAAACGTTGAGGAGGCAATGTATTTTTAACATGTGTTGGAAACAATGTTTATCGATGACCGAAACGACCAGCTGTCACATGATGTGCTGCTTCAAAAAACAGGGTTGTTGTTCACGTTCCAGTGAACAGTGATATTCCGAAATTCGTTGACAATCTTTCAACTGGGACATTCGGTAGCCAAGCCTATAATGATGTCTGGTCGAACACCAAAGGAGCAGTAAATTGATCACGAGGTGCGATTCAGGATCGATACATTCTGTGATCCGTAACAGGGAAAGTAGTGGATTCATACCGTATCGGTGATAAAAACCTGCTTCATTGTTGGCGCACATTGTGTTTCAGCAGTGACTAAGCAATCTTAAACGGATGCACTAAAAATGTAGTCTGACCTCGAATATCCACCCTTTAAAGGGGGAGTTGTTCGTTGGTTTGTAATGCACTACTCATGAGGTTGCTGAAAATTCGTCGACAGCCCATGACCAGTTTCGCCCTTCTTGAGGCTCATCAGGTAGGCTCAGTTCCCGAATTGCCTGGAAACATCACAAACGAGAGATTCAGCTGAGTTCTACGTGAGTCTCTCGAAAAACCAAATTAGTTTGCAAATGAGTGCATATTCGCTAATTTCGTGTAATTTGGTTTCAAGTAGAACATAAAGCTGACGGAAACTCAAGGACCGCGCCTACCAAATGAGCCCAAGAAGGGCGAAACCGGCCGTGGACTGTCGACGAGTTTTCAGCAACCTTATGAGTAGTAAATTACAAATATACATGTGTCGCGATATCTCGAATATCCTAGCGACTGAAACATGAGGCGGCCTGGTGCAGCACATCCAGTTTCCTGGAAACATCACAAACGAGAGATTCAGCTGGGTTCCAGGTGAGTCTCTCGAAAAACCAAATTCGTTTGCAAATGAGTGTATTTCGCTAGCTGTTCGTTGGTTCTTTTATTGATAGAAGCAAAACGATATTTTATTCTGACTACTTGATAGGTGGCAGTAGTGTTTGACGGAGTCGTTAGTGGGCCAATCGCCTACCCTATGACAGAACAGGCCGTGCACGGTGAATGTGTCTTCTCCGGAAAAATTTCAGTTCCTACAAGACAAATTTGTGTAGTTTTTAGTTCACAACGCCATTCTCAAACACCAAATCCGTTGTTTTCCCGAGGACGTGAGCTCGGCCGCATGACATTCGTGTTTATCGTAGTGTACTGAGCTGTCTAGTGAGGTTTATCCTCGTCAAAGACGATGAACAATTCAGTGGGATTCACACATCATGTACTCAACTAGACGGCCGATATGTACGCTTCTCACTGGGTTTGAGGTCATTAAAGTAAACCGAGGGGACAACTTTCAATTGTTGAGTAAAGATATTCATATTTCCGCCTCCGTCAGAGATGAGTAATGCTCCTTAGTAATTTTAAGAACTGGACGATATCGGTTCGAATCGGTTGCTGCTGCAGGACTTGCTGTCTTTTATGATATCGAAGAAAAACAAGCAGATCTGTTTTCAAAACCGACTGGTGGTGGTTCCGAGTAATGTAGAGTCTACACGTTTTAGTAGCTGTGTAAATCTCACAGTTAGTATTCAAGAGAGAGCCCTCAAGCGGGACGTTGACACGAACTAAGCAGTTAGGGTCCGGTCAATATCGTGAAGACAAGTGTGCACTTCAAGTTACTGTGGGCCTTGTAGCTTGATTTTTCAGTCTCATAGTACACAAACGGTCCCGACTGCCCATTCTGAAAACGCCAACCCTCAGATGCGGTTGCCTGTGGCTGGTCCCGTGAAGATTTTCACCTCTATCAAATCTCTTCTGGAGTGAATCCGTTCAGATGGTCGTTTAAGGAAGGAATCGCACTAGAAATTATGGATATAGGTAGAAGTAGCCTCTCTTGAAGTTTAGTCCTTTACAAAAGACGGTCATGCAATTGACAGCTATTGCAAAGACTGAATGAAGGTTGCTGGTTGGCCGCTTTTGGGAGCACTTTTACCACTGAAATATGCCTGGAGAAACCAAATGAGAGTTATCTGTTACGGGTGAATTCTACTAACGGTTGACATTCCCAGCTGTATATACTGCATCTTTCAAGAAGCGGAGCACTTGTGACCACTTGATGTGGACCCCATAACCGAAGGGCGAGTGGCGCTAAGTTCAGGTTAACCGCACTGCTGATCAGGTCAGGTGTTCAAACCACCATGTAGGAGTTATCGGGTTCGAGACTTCCTCTAGTTTCATGACACGTTAGGGTAAAACGGCTGTGCCGTGCTCCTCGGGTGTTCAGGATAGATTGGATTTCGTCCTTGCAGGACGAAATATCCGTCACGATGAGCTCTGCTTCTGGTGGAGACGTACATACGAG